CATCAGATGCAGACAAGTCTTTACAATATGTGTGTTTGTGTGTGTGATTGAACTGAAAGATTATTTTGGTTGTCATTCAGGGAAGCGTCAGGTTTCAGCAATGATGTGCTGCCTCCATTTTCCACTCTGATAATCTCAATCTTTTGTCAAGATTATTCATGTTGGCACATTTGCAAATCCAGTGAGCGATTTTGCACTTGGTTTATTTTAGCACGCAATTTCCCAAAGATGCAAGATCCCAGACTGTAGATTTAGCATTTCAAAGAAAAGGAAGCGTTAGGTTGTCAGTTTAAAGTTGCAAGGGGGCAAAAAATCCATGTGGGCACTGCATGGCTATTTAAATTACAAGCCTTGGACTGATGGGTAGAGGGTGTTTGGCACAAAGGGAAGATGAGCGTCCTCTCCCTCAGGGCCGACAATACCTACAGTACTCTTGGATTTCTGCCGAACAGATGGCAACACAGCTGTGCAGGCATGTTCATGTGAAGGTTACTCTTGTTCAACAAAGTCCTTCTCCCAAAACACACCTTGTTTTTCCTCCCTCTCTAACTGCAACGCCTGCCTATCTTCATTGTTTCATTAAGTGTCCCCTTGTGGTACGTCCCACTATCTCAAGCCATGGGTTTCCATGAATGACAGATTAAAGAATCCCAAGAGGGGATATTCTGGTATTGCACCAACACAATGAAAAAAATCAAGAAGGTCAATTAAACACAACATCTTTGAAAATAAAGGACAATCTAAATAGATGAGACTCAAAATATATCAGGTTTTTAATTTTTCCCAGCAGAGGAAGCTAGCTGCTCATGTTCGACGTTAAGATTTAGAGGTTAAGAATGCTTCTTGTGTGAAAGTGTGAGTGAAGAGGGAAGGTGAGCAGACTACAAACATGTTGCTTAACATATATCAGGGCGAGGTAAAAAAGCTTGAGACACAAAAAACATATTAACATACTCTGGGGAGCAAATTCATAACCCCAATCACTTCAAATGAGTGCAAGATGCAGAGAAAATCAAGGTGCAGTGGTGCTTTCAGGATTACAGCTGATGATCAACACATTAGAGCCAGTTGTAATGACCCAGCTTTTCAAAATCATGACTGAAAATATATATATTTGTTGAGAACATTTTGTCTTCAAAATCTTTGTGTGATTTAATGTACAAAACACAGGCCGCAGCTGTTTATTCAAAGAGATTTTCATTGTTTGGGCTCGAAATGTAGTTGTTTTTTTCCATTAGTTACTTATACAACTTAAAATAAGAAAAGTAAAACATTTGACTTTGACTTTGATATTGACAAAGAAAAGTAAGAAATTTGATATTTTGCTTTTACATTGTTGAAGAATTACATTTCTAAGCATCATATCTAACAATTGTGGACCCAGTATTGTTATATGTCTGATGAGTTGAATGCATCTTCATCTCTAATTTGCTATACTGACTCTTGCATTATTGGTGATAGAAAGGGTAAACAACACAGCGATTCTGGGCTGACTCTTAAACTGTAGGTTTAACTGTGGTTGCAGTTGGTAAACTATGTTTGAATGAGGCTGTGATGCTCATTTGCCAGGTGCAATGATAACAGAAGTTATATGTCAAACTCCATCTTTAGACATTTAACATATATGGGTATGTATAAATAACTTAAATAAGCCTTAATGTATTAATGGTATTGCAGACATGAGCTGAAAAGTCAAGTAAGCCGACTGTAAATGAAAGGAAGGCAGAAGGAAGGAAGATTGAGCATAAAACAAGAAGATATAGAAACAATCAAAGATAGATATAGATTTAGATATAGATATAGATATAGACATGGTTCTACTATATGTCATCACCACTAACATACTTTGGAACTGGTTAGAATATTTTCTTGTTGGCATTTGAGCTGCATCTTTCGCTTATAATAAAACGTGGGTTTTGCTGCAGTCGCAGTAAAGGCCATACGTAAAATGGATGTGGAGCTGAAACAACCTCCATGGTTCTTGTCTCTTTAGGCGTGACACCCCACTATCCCTTAAAGGTCAACTCAGCCTCTACATGGACTGGTTTTTCTCCTCCCAGTAACCACAATGTTCCACAAATGCTTTGGGAAAATGGTCCAAGATTGGATTTTACTCTGAACAAGCCTTTTGTGAGCATTTTCTTACATTTTTCGCAAGTTTTAATAATGCTTCCCACCAGAATGTTAACTTTCAGGCGAAAGGAAGACAGAAAAAAGTTGGCCTTTAGTTGTTTCTAGATGCTGTCCATTAAAACGAGTTCATGAGAGAAACTGTCATCAGTGATCTCACCATGAGGCCCACTGGGCATTAGCTACAGAGTGCTGAGCAGTAGACTTCAAGTCTGCAATTATTTGGCTTGAATAAAAAACCCTCATTCCTACCCCGCACGGGTTGTTCAGAAGCATTCGAGTGCTGAAAGAAAAGGTTCTTCTTTTGTAGGAATGCGGATTCACAGCTTGACTTATTTTCTGCCACATCGAAGCTCTGCCGTCATCACGCCTTAGTACTTACACATTGCAACTGCAACGGCGCTATATTGGTTTGTGAATTCACATTGTATTTGTTGCGGATGAGGGAGGGGGAGGAACGACATGTTTCACATACACAAACACTCAATGCGCACACACACACCATCTTGCAACCACCTTCCCTCTATCGCGCCTTTGTTACTACTTTGTTTGAACAACTTCCCCCCACCATTCCGCCTTCATGCTCTACAAATTATAGTCAAGGTGTTACTTCAGCTTATAAATCATCACCCTGGGTGTTTGTTTTGACATGATGATAATCAGAAATGTGAGATTTACATTTTTAATTTGGTGCAGTGATGCATTCCAAATATTTTCTACAGATGGAGTCGATGTTTAGGTAACACAGAGAGTTGATTTGATTTGTTTCAAATAGTGTGACATATCTTGAAATATTGTATGAACCTCGGAGTCTGACTTTCCTTATGGTTGCTACATACTACCACTCCATATTGAGCTTACTAGCCAAGATTTCTGCTTCCTTTTCCCCCCCTATTTTAATAAACAGCATAATGTGTCATTTAAATATTATATGTTGTAAAGGGACAAGCATCTCCAGTTTACAGTAATTACTAGTTGTAGAGGATGTGGGAAAATGTGTTATGTCTAAGTCTATAGCAAGCAAGCTTTCTTCAGAACACTGTAATTTCCTTGGTGTAGCATGTCCAGTATTTATAACTGCAAACATTAGCTATGGTTTCACAGCGCTGTGTATGTGGCATCATCAAGTAAGTTTCCTGACCATATCACTCCATTTAATTTCTATTTATGTTACATTATATCCCAATAACTGCCATTATCTCATACTCAATATCTCGTAAATATTATCAATTAGAGTTGCCGCCAGTTCATAAAAAAATGATGCTACTCTACAGTTAAGTGGTACGAGCTGTTTAGCTGAAAACCTCTAAATCTACTTGCACAAAGTACATGGTGGATCACTTGTTTATTACACATTTGTCACGTTTTACAATGTTTCTTAGTATAAAGGTATTTTCATGGTAACTTTGTATTGAATTTATACCATATTTAAAAGGCTTAAAACTAGGAAAGTTATTTAAAAACTACCATGAGGTGAAATGGGACCAATTTATCTTTACTTTTTAAAGCTTTCACCAATTTTCCCCCAATTATCGGCAAATTTCCTCAGGTTAAATGATTTCATTGCAGCCTCTTTAAATTACCCTCCAATTTATCCTGCCTGGCTTTCATTGTCATTATCTTTTTGTAGCATACAGGCCAGATGCACTGGCACTTCACCATATAATTACAGAATAGCATTGGAAGGAGAGCGGTTATTTATGCTTATTGCCTCGTGTTGCCTCTTATTAAAAAGTGGGCTCTAGACGTGAAGGGGTGTTACAGGGTGGTAAAAGATAAAGAGTCCTCATGCTGCAAGCACCATATCAAAGATATATGATAATGAAGGACAGCATTACAAATATAGATGACAGATAAACATTAGACCTGTCCCTCCCCATAGTTAAAGTGAGAAGACGGGAGACCACAAGGCAGAGATTTCCATTTGGAAATACTGCTGGCCAAAAAAAAAGATGATTGGAATTGATTTTTTTTAAGGTTTGAGTATTAGGAATTAATGATACAAATGTCTTGGGGAATAAAACGCTCGTTGGATGAAGCCATGTGTGGCCATCCATTCAGAGGAGTCAGCCAGGTGTGAAGGCTGTAAAGATGTTCATGGATCTGTGCTGATTTCATTGGCCAACTATGACGACTAACACCTGCGGCTTGTGGAATATGTTTGTTTTTTTCCAAACCACATAATCTTTTCTCCAAACAGTGCAGGTATGGGAAAGGGTGCAAATAATGTAAGGAAATAATAGAGATACATATGGCGGATGCTGTTGTTCTTCCTATAAATCCTATACCTTTTCCATGATGTACTGCATATACATGTTCCCTACAGTTGAACTACTTTCCATAACACCAGATCTGTAATGACAGCTTACTGTATAAGCATGTGCGATATTAAAAATAACTCCTTAGCACAGTTTAATCTGGGCTTCATGGAGAAAATCCTCATGTGATTTCTCCCACCTTCTTTGCATTGCAAAATACATGCATATGAATATTATAAGGGGGGATTTTTAATGGGAAAAATCTTCAAGGATGACAATCAGACCAGCTCATCAAATGAGCAAATTTGGCCTACATTGTCTGAGGCCAAGGTGGAATTTAATCATGCCAGTGTTAATGGAGGCTCCTCCACACATTACTGTTTTTGGGGATGTGCGGATAAGTTGGTGAACATTTTCTTTGAATGTGAGGTGAACCTTAATAAAGTGTTTGCGATGTAAATATTGTAAAAATGCATAATTATGATGCATCTTATGCAACTGAACATTTTGTGGAAACCAAGGGTACGATAAATGAGAATACCAAGTCTCAACTGATCATTAACTTGAATTCTAACTGGTGGTATTTTTTGTTTGTTTGTTTTTCAGGTCCCCATTGTATGAACTAACATGGACAAAGTGGTCATCAGTCTCCTGCTTCTGGGAACCACAGTTACAATGGTCCATGCATGTCCCAAATACTGTGTCTGCCAGAACCTCTCAGAATCTCTGGGGACTCTGTGCCCTTCCAAAGGCCTGCTCTTTGTCCCACCGGACATCGACCGGCGAACTGTGGAGCTGCGCCTTGGAGGAAACTTTATCCTCAAGATCTCCACTCAGGACTTTGCCAACATGACGGGCCTCGTAGATCTCACCTTGTCCCGCAACACCATCGGCAACATCCAGCCTTTTTCTTTCATTGACCTGGAGACCCTGAGATCGCTGCACCTTGACAGTAACCGGTTGACTGAGCTCGGACCTGATGACCTTCGAGGGCTGATCAATCTGCAACACCTCATCCTCAACAACAATCAACTGAATCAAATCAACAATGCAGCCTTTGACGACTTGTTACTGACGTTAGAGGACCTGGATTTGTCATATAACAACTTACGCAGTGTGCCTTGGGAAGCCGTTCGTAAGATGGTCAACCTCCATCAGATGAGTTTGGATCATAACCTCATCGCCTTCATTTCAGAGGGAACTTTTACAGATTTGGAGAAACTTGCCCGATTGGACCTCACCTCTAACCGTCTGCAGAAGCTCCCTCCAGATCCCATCTTTGGGCGCTCCCAGAGTAATGTAGTTTTGAGCACTCCTTATCTTCCTCCGCTGTCTCTTAGCTTTGGTGGCAACCCTTTGCACTGCAACTGTGAAGTGCTTTGGCTCCGAAGGCTGGAGCGTGAGGATGATATGGAAACCTGTGCTTCTCCTGCCAGTCTAAAAGGCCGCTACTTTTGGTCTGTTCGGGAGGAAGAGTTCGTTTGTGAGCCCCCTTTAATCACTCAACATACACACAAGTTACTTGTACTGGAAGGCCAAACAGCAAGCTTGCGTTGCAAAGCAGTTGGTGATCCAATGCCGATGGTGCATTGGGTTGCTCCTGATGACCGTTTGATCAGCAACTCCTCCCGAGCAACAGTATATGAGAATGGAACCCTGGACATTACAATAACCACATCTAAGGATTATGGTACGTTTACTTGCATAGCTGCTAATGCCGCTGGGGAATCTACAGCCTCCATAGAGCTCTCAATCATTCAACTTCCACATCTGGGTAATGGTACAAACCGTACCACACAGTCCAAATCAGGGCTTTCGGACATAACTAGCTCTACCAAGATCAGCAAAGGGGAGCCTAAACCTCTGCCGGAGAAGGTGGTGTCTGTATCAGAAGTGACTGCTGTCTCTGCTATGGTTAAGTGGACCGTTAGCAAAGCAACTCCAAAGGTCAAAATGTATCAGCTTCAGTACAATTGTTCTGAGGATGAGGTCCTCATTTACAGGTAAGAATGATTAATGAAACTCTATTAAATCCAAATAGGGGCCTGGACCTTTATGGGTCAAATTGTTGAATTAAGCCCGAGGTGTAATCTGTAACTTCAAATACTCACTGCTCAGCTTCCTGAGTCAATTGCTAATTGTTGCTAATTGTTTGCAGGTTGAGTGCTTGAGACATTCATTTTCTCTAAAGTGTTACTCAGAGATCAACATTCATTTTTTCTTAATCCTTCTTGAGACTTCCCACCCCTCCCCCCCTTGAATGATAATTGCTTTCACCAAAAGAATGAACATTGTGTGCAATTTTCTTCTTTTTTTAAGGAAAAGTGGGTAAGAAATCATTGCACTGAAGTATTAATTAGAAATAAAAAGGATTATAGACCCTCATTTATATGTATCCTTCCTAAATTGCTCAAGTCCATAAAGTGTAAGCTAGGAGACTTCAGCTGGAGATCTTTGGCTCCGTGAAATCAATTCCCCATATAATACAGTATGAGAGACAGTTGAAGTAGTGACATTCAAACACAAGCTCTGAATTAGAGACAGACAATAACTCTGCTGTTAATCATTGAATTAATATATTAAAAAAATAACCAAATATACAAAATTTTACTTTAAGAACAAATAAGAAGTTCCATTTCTAAGTCCTCACAGAAGGACACATTTTTAGCTGAAAGCTGTTACATATTTTCACGCATTTATCTTAGACATTACTTCAGGCTCCTTTCAAATTCAGTAGCACCATGGACTCCAAAAGCTCAGAGCACTTAAACACACCCATCGAACTGCAGGGAAATGTTTAGCATGCTAAAGATAGTAATTACACCATCAGGGAAAATTGGTAAAGTGGCCTGCATTGGATATTAGTGACATCACTATCGTGTCAATGTCAGGCTTCTCTGGCAATAACCAAAGAAATAGAACATATTTGTGCAATAGTTCTATAAAATACATAGCTGTTGAATGAAAGGTAATTGATGGATATGGGAAGGCAAAAGCCATGTTATCAACAGGGAACATGGACAGTTGCGATCAGAACAGTAGAAAGTATTGAAGAGAGATTTTATTTTGTTCACACACTGAATGCAACTCGCCAGCCTTACACGTTCAATAGTAAAGGTGTTTATCTGATTTCCTTGCATGCACACAATAAAGCAGTTTGTCATACAGAGAAAAGAGAATAATTAAAATATTCTGTATCTTTTATCCAGTGATGTAAACAAAGGTGGAATTGTTTGAATTTCTTGTAAATGGCTCTTTTGAGGTTTCTCTAATGTCTACAAAATTGCACGGACACTCTTATATGTCCTTTCTAAACTGCATTTCTTCAGTCATTCGTCGATTTGTAGCAGTTGTTTTAATTCCCTTGAAATTGATTATTTTAATTACATTCCTGATTTCGCTATCAGCCTAGAGCCCTTACTATAAACCAATATAATACACTTGTGATTGTCTTGACACCTTTGAGACATCAATTACCTGCAAAATGTTTTATCCCTATCGTGTTTTTACTTTCTCATTTGGCTAATAGCCTTTTTATCCTTGTTAAAGGGATTTATGAACCATAATGAGTGCATAGAGAAAAAAGATAATATAGAGCGGAAAAATTACCCAAAGCAATATATGTATGAGCGCTTATACAATTACTCGTGTGTAGTCCTTTTTCACTTCAGATGAAAATTCGGAGCTGAAAGGGAGAGATAACAAGTAAAGAGAGGCCTACCACTGCTTTTGAATTAATATTGATATGACTTCATTGCTTGCACATGCACACCTACTGTGATCCTCCAGCTGGCTGACACAGTTTTCCAGAGCCTTGCCCGCACTCAGTCAATGCCATGATTAAAAATCAATCAGAGCCACGAGGCGGAGGAGAAAGAATGTGTGAGTTCTCTCAAACATGTGAGCCAACGCAGCTTCTTCCCAGTTATAAAAAAAAGGCAATTAATGATGAATAATAGGAACCACACCCTCACTAGTGTCTGGGATCCGTGGGGGATTAAAGCTGTGGAAGCTTGAACTCTAGGGAAAAAAAGTGAGCCAACAATGCATGGATCACTGAGGAATCTATTTATATACAACTTTATAAGTAGGGTTAAGAGTCTTAAAGGGCCATTTTCTACCCACATGCTGCACTGCTTGTAACAGCAATTGATTGTTACGCCTTGTTTTATGGCTTGTGCCTTCAGGGATTACCACTGTTTTTAAACCTGGGCCCTATTTTTTTATTTCTTGTATTTTTGACACAGAAAGTTTTTGGAATGGCTCATTTTTATCACCTCAGTCAGCAGCTGGAAAATGGGCTGCAACTGCTTCTACATAATCCACAGGGGCAGGTGCGCCTTCTCAGAGTTATGAACACTAAAAGTGCTTGTTTATGCTCATGAGGTTCAGAATGTTATTTACAACTTCTACGATCTGAAAAAACTTCATTAAAATAGTCCCAACCTCCTTTCTCCAACTCCAACTTGTTTCCATCATCACCTTACAGCACCATTTCACACCTGTAACTGGGATATCTCAGGACAGGGCTGCATCATGAGGGAGAATTTGGTTTTGGTTAAAAAAAAAAGAAAAACAAGGATCTTGGTGCACTGATAGCCTAGCTGCTGGTTTGCATCCACAATGTACAGAGGACTTTGTCCTGAAAGCAGGTGGCCCAGGTCTAATCCGATCTGTGGCTCCTTATCCGGATGTCATTCCCCATTTTCTCTCTCCCCTGTTTCTGGCTCTGTCCACTGTCCTATCTCAATAAAGGTATGAAGAGCCCCAAAACAGTTTCTTACTCTTGGAGAAAAAGGTCAACCTATGTTGTGATCCGTGCTCAACTTAAAAAGGCCAACATATCGGTAACATTTACTCTCCCCACATTATCACGTTATTTACTTTATGATAAAGTGGTACAACAAGCTATAAACATACAAATAAAACTGGAGCTACATCCATGTAATGTATATACCAATTATACTAGACTATTGCCTTGCAATGCCTTGCGTTTAATCATTGAGACAAAGCCTAGATTGCTGTGTAAAGAAAGAACCTGTTGAATAGCTTTAGTAGATGTGAGGTTCTAAAAGTGAAAGGATATCTGCAAACCTTTCTTCAAAAGCCAACTCTCTTTACTCACTCTTTACCTCTCTTTACTCACTCTTTACCCCGTGAGAAAGCACTAACAGCCCATTCAGACCAATCTTGGTTCTTGGACTGTAATGATTATATAATGTGTCTACAAAGTGTTTGCAAATGGTCCTGTTTAGTTTGACATCTCTGTGATGTTTTACTCTGACATAATGAGATGCTGTCTGTTTACAGTAACAGATGTTTCAACAGTGGCAGCCTGGTTAGACCAGTCAAGCACTGCATGTCATGAAAGTCTAGATTTATGTTTTGAAGAGTAAATTTTTAATAGCTTAGCCTTTTCCCCATTAAACAAAATGCCTAAAATGACTTTAAGGAATGACAAGTCACAGGGGTTGATCCAGGGGGTCAGCAGGGGTCACCCTTGAAATCCAATTTGGTCACCCCAAAATTCTAAACTATATACTGCTTTTTGCCTTATTAGAGGCAGATCTAATGCTCAGGCTTGCTAGTCCTTAAAGAAGTAAGTCAAAAAGATTTATATGTTGCCACTCAGATGTGTAAACTATTTGTTAAGGTTTATTTTGGGGCTTTTATGCCTTTATCGTAAAGACAGGACAATGGATAGAGTCAGAAAGTACTATGTGCAAACTAACCACTAGGCTACCAGTTCCCTGCTTGTGTTACTTTTTTAAAGTTTGAATATATAGTACACAGGAATATAACACATTTTAGTTATTTTTAAGGTCTGTGTATTTGTAGTGTAGGACTATTTCAAATGTAAAATGTTAGGAGTTACAGTAGTTGTGATTTGTGGAGTCATGCCTTCCCTTAGGTCAATGCCCCAGTTTGGTCGCCCCACTCAAAAAAGTCAGGCTCCATCCCTGACACATGAACTTTATCTTTTTTTTTCACTTGACATCTACAGGATGTGATTGATAGTCATAATAAAAGACATACAGAAATACATGTTAAAATGACATTATCAAGGACTTTTAGATCTTATCATTGGCCTCATAAGCCAGCTTTGGTGTTTTCCCTGCTGTCTAAAAAGACTAGTTGAGTTGGACCAATATAAATTAATGTGTGTATACATAACACAAAGTTCCTGCAGCAAAATAATTGCAAACACTTCTTTGAAATTAAGCTACTGAAGCATTGACTTTCAGTTCAGTCAAAAAGAGTGACGCTGAGGGAATCAGTCGTATTCAAACATCTGGAATGATAACAGAGTTAAAACAATTTAATGCAAGTTAAATGGAATGTACAAGTAATTTCATTTGGCCAAAACAAATTTGGCCATTGAATACTTATCTCATTACTATTGCTTCATGCATATCAAATGTGTTATAATAGGACCAATGAAGTCATTTTTCTGAAATACTCTGTGCATATAAATAGCTACTTAGCATTCATTTTCTTTCTTTTTTTTATCTTCCAGCAGCATAACAGATTAATCCAGTGTTGCGTTTCATCCTAAAGTTCTCTAGCCTTGTCTTGAACTCCCATAGCAAGGATTCTGATTTTAATGGTGTTCCTTTATGTGCTTCTGTCTCTTTTCAGGATGATATCAATGACTAACAGAGCTTTTGTAGTCACAAATCTTGTCCCAGGAATGCAGTATGACCTGTGTGTGTTGGCCATCTGGGATGACACAGCCACCACCCTCACTGCCACCAATATAGTTGGCTGTGTCCAGTTCATCACCACGGAGGACTACCCACAGTGCCAGTCTCTCCACAGTGGCTTCCTGGGTGGCACCATGATCCTGGTCATTGGTGGCATTATTGTTGCCACGCTGCTGGTGTTCATCATTATACTAATGGTGCGGTACAAGGTGACCAGTGGCATCCAGACTAATAAATTACCCTCTGTGAGCAACACATACTCGCAGACCAATGGGGGATTGAACAGGTTCAATGGTGCCCCACCACAGGTCAAGTCCACTGTGGTGGTCATGCGTGAGGAAATGGTAGAGTTTAAGTGTGGATCCCTCCAGAGTAGTCTCTCTTCATCCTCTTCCTCTTCTAACTCATTAGACAGCCACACAGGCAGGAAGGCTAATGACCGCTACAGCATGCAGGGCAGTGAATGCAGCACGTTGCCCAGCAGCAAGTTCAGGAGGCACGGCGCAAAAGCACGACCAAACCTGGACAACCTATTAGGGGCCTTCACCTCACTGGAGCTGCGAGGGGTAGTGAGGGAACACCAAGGGGCCTCTGGACCTTCCTCCACTTCTACTGCTATGACGACGGTGGCTGTGGCGCCCCCGTCTGATAAAGAACCCCTACTTGGGAGGGCTGAGTCTACCACCATGCTTGGACGTTTACTTGGGCTGCCCCAGGAGGGTAAGCCCAAGAGGAGCCACTCGTTTGACATGGGTCATGTCGGGGCTGCACAGTGTCGCAGCAGCCACCCTCGCAGGATAAGCAACATCTGGACTAAGCGCAGTCTATCTGTGAATGGCATGCTGCTGCAGTATGATGACAGTGAGGACGAGAAGCCCCCATTCGAGAGCTCTGAGTGGGTTATGGAAAGCACAGTTTGAGTCCAACTGTGAGATCAATGGACATATGATGAATCTATGTCAAGAACTTGAGTATAGATGAGATATCCCTGAGGGAATCTGCCTTTGGGTACGGCATGAATGTACTCCATGTGAAAACTGTGTAAGCAACTATGTAAGAAAAGACACCCATCTCTAAAGATTCCTGGCAATGATCTCAAGTATTTGACAGTCTCTTGAAGTATTTAAAATACTGTCTGGATTCAAAAGAACATAGAATCTTGAATTATGCTGATGGGAATCATTCCTTATCCACAGGGCACATGTGAGTATCTCTGAAAAGGGAAGACGGAAGAAAGAAGTGGATTTAATATGTCTATATCGTGAGAACTGAATGCCAAGAGGATTAACTGCAGCTGTCGTGAAGTATATGTGCATCACAATGTCTTGGACCCTCAGCGTGACATGGGACTACTGCAACAGTAGAGAGAAGGACTGGAGGGGCCAATAGAAACAAAAGTCATTTTTATTTTTCACAAGTTTTTCTATCATTTTTACTATTTATTATTTGAGGTGATTCATCAGCAGGTAGAGGCACAGCTCTTCAGAGGTTTTAGTTGTTCACACAGAGATGCCATTCTTTCATGTGCAGCCATTTCACATTATACAACAGTGGGATTTCAATTAATCACAAATCAAACCTTTTTTTTTTTTTTTGGTAATGCCCTATGCTCTAGTTATCAGCAACATAGAACCACAGCAAGCCAGTCTTGTATTTCTACCTCAGGTTATGTATCCTATGAGGTCATGTATAAAAGAATGCAGATTAACCCAAATGCAAAGTATGGACCACAAACAGCCCGAGACACAAAGTTATGTGCCCATTTGCAAATGCTTCAAATAATTATTTAGTCTACAACCAATTCAACCCAACATTCCCCTGCTCAGGTTGACGTTCTGCTTTGACTCAATGTCTTCATGAATGCTTTCATACTCTCCCCATTGGTTAACGCTGTTGACAATGGTCCCTGTTGGCGAATAGGCCGTTAATGTAAACACAGTGTTTACCGCAGGGTATGGTTTCAGATGCAATCAACACATATTACAGTCTCCTGATTGGAATAGGCTTTGAAATCCAACAAGCCCACATACTCAGTTTGCTTCAACTCATAGAAGGTTGGATTATTCGGCTGTAATTCTCATGAGGTAACACAAACAAGAGAGTATTAGAATTACTCACTTAGCCTGGTTATGTAATGAGTCCAAATTGAAGTCTATGAGCATGATAAAGGTCATTGAGCTGTTTAGCAGAGAACAGTAGTGGGAGAGGGCCGAGAATTACAGAAGGAGAACTTTTTAAGGCCCAAACCATCACTGATTGGCAAAATCTTTGGCAATGTATTTCATCCAATTGCACAAAAAAAAATGTTGGTTTATGTCTTATTCTAACTGATTCATCAAGGGAACCATTTATTGTTTCATTTACTTTTATTCAGAGCTGTACATTGCAAGAGGATACTTTAAAATAGTGGCTATTCAAATAACTGCCCACAATTAACAGATACATCCATACCTATTTTGATGCCTTTCTCAATATCTTGAGCCTCTGCTGCATTTCAAAATGTGAGCTGGTCATCATTTTTTATTATGTTCTTCTTCCCTAGGTGTAATGTTCTGTATATTGGCATTTCTTTTTGTAAAATTTCTGGGTGAGAATGTAAAGGGCAGAAAATTGTGCAGTAGTACTTTTATGTTCATGTGAAGCAAACAGTGGGAAGGTGCTTTACTGTGGTGTACCAACTTGGTCATTGTAAGTTGGCTCACTGGAATGGGATTCAACATTATACAAGTGGAGAAATGGCAGTTTGAAAGGGTCAGTTCACAAACACTAGAAAACACATATTTTCTGACTTACCTTTGGTGTTTCTGGCCATCTAGATACTCTTGATGTCTTTTTCCCCAGGTTTGTAGAAACCCTGCCATGAGTTTTCTACCTTTACCATATTTGGTGGATTTGCTTTCTAAATATTATCTTTTACTGTATTATTTTTTTAAGAAATTAAAGTGATATTGGATGTACATGATTTTTGTGTCAATGTGTGCCTTAAACCATAAGTCCAGTGATATTTTCTGTTCTTCTCATTGTTGACAAATTCCATGAATCGTCCAAATCAAACAACAAATTGAGTCAATACCAAGGGTGATGTGTATCCAAAGCAGATAAATATCTTAATCCTAGATTGTCCTGACTCACAACCTTGGGCTGGTGATGTTCCCTCTTTACCAACTAAATGGAAGCTGTAGTGGTTTATGATTACATGATTGCTGCAAAATGTATAATTATCCACAACTGAAAACAGTCACTAATAAGCCCTTGAGTAATGTTTGGTTAAAGTACCAAGCTGTTATGGAACATTAGTTTATAATGGTTCAGGTGGTCATTTGCAGACTGGGAAAGAAAAGTCAAAAATAATGGAGACATACTATCTCATAATTGGTTTGAATATTCAAGGGATTTGTGAAATGAATATAGAATATCATCAACATTACAGTATGCTGGACTTTATGTTTCCCTCAATGGATTTCCAGAAATCACATTAACAATAATAACTGAAATTACGATCACTATCAATGTCATTTAATGGGTGATTTCACACATAAAACCCAATCTTTGAATGGTGGTCAATGCTTCTACAGAATCCCCAAAACATGCACAGTTTTTTTATTATTTTTATCAGAATTATTCACTGAATAGTATCCAACTGTAAAGTCATATGAAGTTCATTAAAGGACCTCTCAGAAGACTATAAGCAGGAGACAGTATTAAACTGGTAATAGAGTATTTTAGACAGTGTTTAATTCAACATCTTTTCTGAAGGTGCACTTGTGATAATTTAATATTGGCTAAAGTCAAATTGAAGCTGGTCTTTCAAGGAAATTTCAGAAATGTGTCCAGAAACCTGGAGATTATTAGGATAATAAAGTCCGTGAAAAGCATAAGAACATTGTCATCACTTATAGGTTCAGTTTTTTAGGGGTGGAGATAAAGGGGGGCTTCATGGTGCCCTAGAGCTTGTTTGCATAATCCAACCCCGTTAGTGCTGCAACGATATTAAAGCAGTGAGCACTCTATCATCTTCTGTTCTGCCGCTCGATCACAAGTCACTACAAGTTTTAACATTACAGTCTGCAGTTTTTCTAGCTAGCAATGCCTTCATACTTCTGAGTAACAGGCTTATGTTATACACTGATAAGCTAACTTGCTTACATGGGGAACAGGTCTTGTTGCAGACTGAGACAAAATAGGTAGACTCTCAGGAACATCAGTGTCCTCAGGTTTGGAATCTGATTCTGGCTCTGGTGGCTTAAAGATGTATCGTTTAACAGATCCAATAGAGCAGTCAGATGAACATTCAATTGTCAGGTTGTAGCAGTTATTGACAGTTGAGTGAGTGGGCGTGGTTCAGCCTTTAGACATGCGCACAGCATCCCAGCGCATAGTTAACTGCTACATTTTCATGGTATTAAAATTGTTTTTTACATTCTTAGCAATCTCTTTTCATTATCAGAATTTGGTCAGCTGGTAAATAACTTTTTTGTGTTTTTGATGTATATCAAATTTTAATCTACAATATCTGCTCCATTGTACCAACATGTTGAAGAGGGATGTCTCATCTCCCGGGTAAATAGAGCCAAATATCTGCATCTATAGACAACACTGGTTATAAATGAGAAAACCTTTCTTTTTTTGTCTTTTGGGTGAACTGACCCTTTAACCTGCTTCCTCTTCTTTGGACATAATGTTATATCCTCTTGCAGTCTGCTAACTGAGAATACATTTTAAGTGTGTACTCAACATAGTCATGATTCTCACCAGAGGTTCTAGGACAAAAAAAAAAGACGGAAAAAAAACCTGTTTCTGTGTGAAATCATTTTGCTACAAAAGATTATAAAATACTGATTTATTCCTATGAACCAAACTGGTTGTTTTGTGTTTTATTTTCTTTCTGCATCTCACAGACACACCTGTTACTATTCCATGTGTCTTATATTACATCACTAATTGCATTTTTGGCACTCATCTTTCTAAGCCTGAGCTGACTCTTTCAATCTCAACATACAAAGCGGCTAACTGAGTCGCCTTTCTAACTTGCTGCTTTGTTTACCGTCCATGAGCCAAAGGTTTTCCTCCTGAGGTCCAGCTGCTGTAATCAGGCCAGTGGCTGCTGATTCACCCCAGCTGCCCTTATTACAAATAACCAGTACATGCAGCTCCTGGCCAGAGCCAATAATAAGGCTTTCATTTATATAATCTGTCAGGAAAGGTGCTTAGGGCAGCACAAGGTAAAAAATAATCCCCATAAGGACCAATGGTGCATGATAAGACAACGATATGCACCTGCTTAGGCCTCAGAGGGAACAAGACTGCTGGCTGTAGAAATGTAGTTATTATCGGGCTAAATACTACAAACAATATTCATATCAAAGCAAAAATAATCTAAAGGTAACACCCAGTAGTGGAGCGAGTGTGGGGGCAGAAGGTGCGGCCGCCCCGGGCCCACTTTGAGCCAAATTTAACATGCATTTTGTTATTTAGTTAAATTTTCGAATAAAGTTAGTTTGACTAGGTCTGAGTCTCTCTTTTCTTTTGTCGCAATTAAGACACACAATGTATTTTGTAGAGCAGAGAGGGGCCCCCCTCCACTGCCAAGGGGGTTCTCAACTTCGGCAGCAAACAGCACCAGGCATGTTTGTAATGTCATTGATTCCACCTCTTAGCACCCCCTTTGCTGGGCCCCCGCTGCTGTCTGGAGTTTTAAAAACCTAGTCATGTGTCTGCTTTATTTCTGTTTACCTCGCTGTTTTTCGTAACATTAAAAGTGTAAAAAACTAAATAAAAAAGTTTTCTTATTGACAACTCAACCTGGCAAGTCTCCTCCCATTGCTAGCTCCACTAACCTAAACGCTACTAGCCAAGCAAATAAAGATGTTAGGAGGAGCACCCAGCTAGCTGCAGGAAAGCAACAGTGCTGATGAAAACTTCATTGGTAAGTTGTTTCATCATTATTTGAGATTATGCTGAGATGCTGGTCTTTTGTTTGTGGCTGCATGTGTTGTAGACCGCCGTGTCTGCTTGGTTATCGTACTGTATGAACGGCAGGCCATTGCTGTCACACTGTTTACAAAGTTTGTTGTCCTGCGTGGGTTGATAATGTGTGGTTTTATTGTATTGTCTGTTTGTCTGTGTGGCTGGATGAGCGTCCAACTTCACTGAATGTTAAACTGTAGTTGCCTTCTATCTTTGGTTTCCCGTCCGGCTAATGAAGTCTGCTTTACTTGTTTAATCGGTGGAATATGCGCACAGACATATCAGCACTTGTTCTGCTTAAACATCAGCAGGTCACTCACTAATAAGTCCCTGTCACTGTAATAGCACTGAAATCCTCCCAAGAGAATCAGATAGAACAGTTGGGAGACGTTTTTCTGTCCCAAATTATCAGCAAGGGAACACAATGATTGGACTTCTCTGCAGCTGAATAGGACCCGGGGTGGAGCTGGTTGTGTCTGGAAAGCAATGGAGTGCAAAAAAAAAAAGAAAAAAAAAATTGTTCCCCGCCACTGAACTTGGAAAATTGTTTAAAAAAGAAGCCACTTTCAAAACTGCAGGTGTGCATTTGTTGCACAGGAGGAAGCCTGTGTGTGAGGAAATACTACTTTAAAAAGCTTAATGTTGTCAGCTGAACAAAAACATCAGCGACTGAACGAGGTATAGGAAATCAGTGAGAGATTGCTGGGAATTTCTGTTGACGGAAAAAATAAATTACATGCTTCTCCATATCGACATCTTCTTTGTACATATTGGAAAAGAAAGGCGAGATCATGTGGAGGAAAAAAGACCATATGGAGGAAAAGCAAGATAAAGAAAGAGGTGTGATTGTAGGAAACACATTTGAAAATGACCCTCGACCCTCAGTGAATATTTTCCTTACAAGTTTATGTCTATGGTTAAACGGTAAGGCGTGGATTTACAGACAACTTACATCATGAAAACGTAGAAAAATAAGTGGCAACTGGCCCACTGAGGGGGCTAGGTTGCCACCCAACCTCTCCCCACAAACAGACAGACAGACCTCAACTGATTAAAATACAAAAATGTACCATTTTAAAAGGGCAAGGGCACTATTATGTTGGTATGGAATGAAAAGGATAATCATGCAACAGAAATTTAAGATTTTAAAGGTTCTACGTGTCTAAAGTCACTGACTGGTGAAAAAAATTGCCTCCACGGACTCCTGTTATAAAGATGCACATGTAAATTTGCTCCTCTTCAATAAAAGAGCGAGGAGCTGCGATGGGTGCAGAAGAAATGCGCACACGAACCTCTCACACACCTCCACCCAAAAGTAGAGAGCAGAGGGATACATTCCTGACTTGACCTGAGACAAAAAGAGCAAGTCATGCAGAGTCACTGGATCAGAGCACAGACTGGTTTTTAAGGTAGATCAGAGTACCTAGCATGACAAATCAACACTTTTTAAAGCTGATCTCCAGAGTTAATGCAGTATATTCCTGTATTAGAAATGAATATATTGTTGTAGATATGGTAAGTAAAACAGATTGTTTCCTAAATTTGAATTATTTGATTGTAATGCTAATTCTGTTAACCAGATAATGGTATTTTCTGGTAGGCTATATGTTAGCATTAAGCTAACAATTTAAGATTAACATCCTGGTCCATCTTTGAGAAACTATGCCCCCCCCCCCCCCCCCCCGAGAACATTGGCCAGGTGCTGCTGTGATTCTTTTTATATTGTTTTTTGTTTGTCTCCACAATAACAGGTTTATCTCTTCTTTGGTAGGATTTTCTGTAATGTTTCTTTTTAGCTACATTAGCACTGTTGTGAGCTGATAACTGAATGTTTCCTAACCTCTTCCTCCCCTCAATCCCAACCCTCTAGCAAAAATAATGTCACTTCTGGCTCGAAGACAACAATATGGCAATCGCAAAAAAGAAGGCTTGAACATCTGTTATCCACAATTAGCAGAGGGTGAGGTCATGAAAGTCACATTAACTTGTTGCTCT